TACAGATGCAGTATTTAGTCTGTGTACCTGGTTACAGATGCAGTATTTAGCGTGTACCTGGTTACAGATGCAGTATTTAGCATGTACCTGGTTACAGATGCAGTATTTAGCGTGTACCTGGTTACAGATGTAGTATTTTGCGTGTACCTGGTTACAGATGCAGTATCGGGGCTCGTTGGGGTCGTAGGTCCAGTCCACCTGGCTGTTGGCCTCGGCTTCGGGCAGCGCTGACGCCTGCTGTGAAAGCTCCTGAGCCAGCGCCGACGATGAAGAGCACGACGAGAGCGAGGAAGAGGAGGACGAGGAGGAGGACTGATGGTTGGAAGACTTGATGGTGCTCCTGGAGACAGACGAGGAGGAGGAGAAGATGAGCTATTTACTGCTGTGTTGTTCTCACTGCTGAAGTTCAGCACTAACTGCTGTCGACATGAATAGCTCCTCTGTAGAACCAACATAACCGGCGGTCTTACTTGGACTTGCGGCCCCTGGAGTCGGAGGCGGTGGTGGGGGTGAGGGTCTGGGTGAGGGTGGAGGCCAGAGCAGAGGACGAGTATCCGGTGTTGTCCCGCGACAGAGAAAACTCTCGGCCAAGCTGGAAGTCGTTGTTCTTGATGGCCTCGTAGCTCGCCTTGAGGCTGGACGTTCTGCGGCCCTCCTTCATCTGAACACAGAACCACAGAACCGTTGGAACCATCAGAACCAGCAGTGTTAACGGGCTGATCAGGTAAAGCTCAGGAGGAACATTAGTGCTGCTGTTTGTTTTCAACAGGATGCTTTAATGGATGATATTAATCACCTCAAAGAGCATCTACTGGTGAAATAAAGATTAAATACAATAAGTTTAAATCAAAAAATAAAACATTATATAAATAGAAGACAACACGTGCTCTGAAACATGCTCACAGATGTAGGTAGCATGTTAGCATGATGCTAATACTAAACAGTGTTAAAGGAATCCAACATCACACCGCTGTGTTTTCACATCATGACATCAACATGTGGTCATTTAACAAATTAAATGAAGCCGACTGGAACGTGTTTGGAAACGACAACATTTATTCAACAGTCCAACACGGCTTCCTGCTGACGAGCTAAAGTTTAATATAATAATAATACAGATTAATATTACTTTAACCTGACAGCACAAAGATCTCATTATTATGTTATTGATTTATGTTTTGGCTGAACACAGGCACTGCGTTTGTGACTGTCTGTCCAGGTGTATGTTCTGGTGGATGGTTTGTCTCACCTGTGCGGTGGCCTGGACGGCCTGGGCGGCTGCCATGGTGATGGCCCCGGCTCCGGCCCCGGGGCCCGCAGGTAGAGAGCTCACGTTGTAGGAGGCCAGGGGCTGAGAGGAGTTCACGCTGTACACGTTGTTGGTGGACGAGGACGTGCTGTTGGTCCGGCAGCCTGCAGGGACACACAGGTAGACCAGGGCAATGATACAGGTGAGCAAGGGGCACACTGTACAGGTGTGCTGCTACCTGATGGGTCAGAGTGTGCCGTTACCTGGCGTGTTCTCCTTGGAGGCGTCTGAAGTGAGGGTGGACAGCAGAGCTTCAGACTTGAACTTCTTCTCTGGAACGTGTTCTGTGGTGTGGTGCGTCGGAGCGCTGTACTTCCTCTCTGTCAACACAAACACAACAGTTTCTATCAGCAGCTTCTTAATTAATCAACATTAATGACGAATAATTAATAACAACAACCTGCAGGTTCAACACCAATAAGAGCCGAGCAGCAGGAAACAATAAAATGTTCTAAAACATCAAGAAATGTTCTAATTAATTGAAAAACGATTATCAAAATATCACAAAACATTAATATATGTCTAATAATATGTTTTAACTGAACAGACAGGTTTAATAAACACCCCAGGATACTAATACCAGACTCCAGACCCTGAATAAATCCCTGCTGAACTGTGTTAAAGGCAAAGTGCTGCTGCTGCTGTTCTTACTCTCGGCGGTGGTGTGTGAGTGGACGTGGTGGTTGTTGACCGGCTGAGACGGGCTGTCCATCTCCAGAGACCCTGGACGGGACAGAGAACAAGTTCAACACAAAACAAAGAGCGAGACAAACACTCAGGACGTCAGAGCTCTGAAACGCCACTCACGTCTCTCCAGAATCTCGGTGATGCCGGCGTTGTCGGCCTCCAGCTCCATCTTGAACTTGGCCAGCTCCTGGTCCAGCTTACGCAGGTGACGGTCCACCTGAGGGCAGACGGGGTTACATATATATAAATATACTGTTTTATACTGTTGTACTGAACATCAGCAGCTCCCTCTGTGTTACAGTCTCTGTCTGCCATCTAGTGGTGATTGGACTGAATCACACTGAGACAGTATGTCTGTTTATTCTGATCTTCTTTGTGTATTTTAACAACATTTTCTCCTGACTTAATGCAAGACGGCAGAACTAATTCTACTCATCTCTAAAACCTTGTTTATTCAATCTAAAAGTTGGTATCAAAACAAAGAATGTGGACAAAAACTATTAAACAGACAGAGTTTCTGTCCATATACTTTTGGACATTTCTAACCATTCATGCTGAAACATTTAGGCCGTAAGTATGACAACACAAACTATTAGACAGATAAACCAAATGGATCAACCATATGAGCATAATGCTACAAGCAGTATTATTGATCCTCTACCTGGTCAAAAGTATGTGGACACAAACTACTGACCCGACAGGGTATGCTGTCCACATACTTTTGGTTATTTACATTCATCAGGCCTTGTGCCCACATAGCCGGTTCCACTCACCAGATCATAGATCTGATTGGCCAGCTGGACCTTCTCGTCTGCATCTTCCAGAGCTTTGTAATAATCCTGAAACACGAGAGAGGTTCTTTCACAACAGTCGGAGATAAAACATGACGATCACCGTGTTCTTCCCGGCGCTGACCTTTTTGATGACCTCCATCTGCTCTTCCCTCCACTCGGGTTTGTTCTTCTTGGCGTTGACGAAGAACTCGATGACCTTCTGCTCCAGCTGATCTGTGGCGTCTGAAGGCACAAACGGCAGAACGGACGGTGTTACTTCACGTTCTCATCCACTTTGTTCAGCAGGGTTCTGTTGTGTACACGAACGGTTCTGACTGACGGTTTCAGTCCAGTACTTTAGATTCATCTGGTCTCAGTGAGTTCAGGTTCATGTTTGTTATTGTGAAACAGGAAACTGGGAATATTTCCCGAAGCAGATTGTGAATCTAAACGAAGTGTCTCAGCTCCAGCAGGAAATCAACATTAACTAGCATACTTTATACTCGTAACTGGTTCCTACAACGGTGCCTCCAGAACATTTTATCTGCACACTTCCTCAAATCAGTTTATCAACACATTAATGACCATGTGGTGGTTTCAGCCTGTTCTCTCTAAATCAGCTCGTCCTCGTCTCACGATGCTGAACTGAATATTTTAGCAGCTCCCAGATAAAACGACGCATCTGAAGTTGTTCTGCTCAATTTGTGGTTATTTTATAAATAGAATAACAACACTGCCCTCAGCTGAGACCAGAGAACAAATATTTTTAGAGCTTAATTTTGGAGGTTGGTGTGATTTCTAATGAGAGGTTTAAAAATATAACCATGGAAGAAACCTGACTGGCCTGAAAGACTCTCTGAGATCTTCCTTTTAGATGCAGATTCTGTGAAACTTTTATAAAACGAACTGACAATAAAGAACCCATCACATGGAACCAGAGGCTCAGAGCAGCCTTCTGGGATGAGACAACACACAGCGGTGAGCGGGTTAAGGAACAGTGAAGATAATCAGTCTGTTAGATTAATCTCTACATCACCCTGATGTCAACAAACCAGAACCACAAAACAGCAGCTTTACGTTCAGCGTAATCTGTCACGTTTCCTTGTAGAGATCATTTAAATATTAAGACCCTTCACAGTTAAAATTAGGACTTTTTAAAGCAAAATAGTCTCTCAAATGTGAAAATACACTATAAATGACCTTTTGTTGTTTTGAGAATAATAAACGCACTGAAGTGAAGCTTTACAAAAATTATACTGCAGACGCTTTTAAGAAAAATCTGATATTTCCCCAAATTGCTCCACCTGACACAAAGAAAAACACCTATTCAATGTTCTATCTTTTAACAGCTGCTGCATTTAATCAGCACTACAATAAACTCTGTGGAAGCTATGTCACGGAAAAAGCTAAAATTCCTCCTTTAGTTTAACCTGATGTACTTTGTTTTAACGAAAATTAGTTCTGTCTGACAAAACTGTAATAAAAGCAAAGCACTACTGTGTCTTCCTCACCTACAAACGAAGGTTTAAATGGCTCTCTTCACTTTATTTTTTAATTCTTTATTCCACTGCAGACGTACTCCTCTACAGGACCAGGAAATCTAAATGATTTTTCCATATGATCTGCTGATAATCCCTGTATGTATTTTTTTTATCACAAACAAACTATGTCTAATATGTAATACTGGGCCGCCCTACTTTCAGCCACCTTTCTTTTTTAAATTGTGGACATTAAAAGGTATTTAAATGAACGTTTTCTCTGAAAATAGTTCCTACAAGAAAACAAACCGAAAAAAAAAACAATATAAACTTTTGACACTGATGTGTTTTAGTTTTTTCCCCAAACAAATAGTTTATTTAACCTCCTATATTTTAATACAGATAAACATTCATGTGTAATTATAAATATAACAGTTTAGTGTGTTGTGCAGCTGAAGGCATCAATGCTGTTCTGTGTTTACATCAGGACTTCATCTGACAGCTGCTCAAATCAACCGTTTCTGCACCCAAAAAATAAAAAAAATCACGTGAAAAGTTTTTAGAATCAAACTTTTTAAACAATTAAACCGCATACTGTCAGCCCCTGACATGTCAGATGCCCGGCGGTAACGGAGCCGCCGCCGGTAAACCAGCCCAGCCTGTTAGCCGCTATGCTAACATTAAAGCTAATTAATCACAGGACTCGGTGTAAATAACGGCGAGACGCGGCTACGCTGCTCGCGGAGACCCGGGGAGGCTGTTCGCTGTGTTTGCCCGTTAAACTGTGCCTGTCGTCGGCGTGATAACCCCAGCGTGGGCTGCCGTTAGCCGGCGGAGCTGTACGTACTCTGAACCTGCAGGTCCATCTCCCTCATTTCCGTAAACCTGTCGCGGAGATCCATGGGAAGCTGCTCGATCACTGCGGGGAGAAGAAAAGGCGGTTATCCTGCTAGCACGGCTAGGCTAACGGCCGGGCGCGGACGGGCCGCGAAAAAACACACATCCACCGCACAATACACTCCGGCAGCACCACCGCCGCCCCGATACGGTCCCGTACTCACTCTCGAGATAGTCCTCCAGGTACAGCATCGTGCTAATTTTCACGTTTTGAGCGTTTTACGGAGCAAATTTCTTCTTTCAATATGGCGCCGCCAGCCGCTGTCCTGCTCAGAAAAAAATACACCGAAAAATTGAGGTCAGAGAACGTGACGCACACGGCTACTCACGTTCTGATTGGTCGAAATCCAGGCGGGCGTCGATTTGTGTTCTCAAGAGAGATGCATTGTGGGAGTCGTAGTTTAATAGTGTTCGAGCGCTTTAAAGGCCCCAAAATGAAGTTTACAGGACTATATATTAATATTTTTTTTAAAATATTACTATTATTTATTTATTTTATTGAGAGTTTCAAATAAAATAATTTTTAATGTACATTTTGACTGTACAAGTAAACTGCATCTTTATTTAAAACTAAATTTGATTTATTCTGTTATTTAGTCTTTAGCTGATTCTTTGTTTGCAGTTGGATTTTTTATTATTTATTTACACGAGGACAGCTTTTGCTTTTATTCCTCAGCGAACTGCAAATTTTGACATACGTGACAATGTTTTGCCAAAAACTCCCTTTTATTTCAATATAAAAACAAAAATAAAGTTTGATTTTTAAAACAACACTTGAGCCGTGTGACAAACCATCTGAAGACCTTTTAACTTGAATGAAGTTCTCAGGAACACAAATGTCATCATCAGAGGATATTGATATATTGGAGACACAAATGTAGGGATTTGTTTTTTTTGTTATTTGGAGTGTGCCCACATATTTTTGGCCATACAGCATGTGTATATAAATGTGTAGCCCAATAAGTAGACAATAAATGCATAAAATATGTGGAAATGTACTACAAGCAACTGCCCTAGGTAGATGTTCACGAGTCCACATACTTTTGGCTATGCATATGTGTACACGCATTACAATCCATATAGGTATACTGTATATGTCCTAAAGTATGTGGACATTAACCATAATATAGACTTTAATGTTTGTACTGTGTTCCTCAATAGCAGTTGTCCACATACTTTTGACCACATCAATGTGTATCTGAATCACCAGCTGAATAGATAGACCATATGTGGCCAAAAGTATGTAGACACTTCACACAAGCCTCTGCTTAGTTTTAGGCTGTGTAGTTTGTAGTCCACCACGATAAGAGGCGTCAAGATATTTTTGGCCACGTACCTTTACACTAAACATATGAAAAATAAAGAAATGTGGACAAAAACTTAAAAAGAGAGAGTTTCTGTCCATATACTTTGGACATTTCTAAACATTTATGCCTAAACTTTTAGGCCACAAGTATGAGAACATAAACTATTGACAAATAAACTAAATGGATGAACAATACGAGCAAAAATGCTACAAGTAGTATTATTGATCCTCTACGTGGTCAAAAATATGTGGACAGATACTATTAGAAAGACAGTATATGCTGTCCACATACTTTGGTTATATTCATTAACATTAATTATGCCTTTGTGCCCACATATTTTCCTCATAAATATGAGGACACAAACTTAGACGGACAAACTAAATGCACAAAAGAATGTAAACAGAATCACTGTTGACCATGTAGTAGTCGGCATCTATTTGTTCTAAAATATGTGAACAGGAAATATGAACAGATAGCAGTTTCTGTCCATATACTTTTGGACATTTTCAGCCTTTTGTATCCTCAGGTTTATAGCCATAAACCTGAGGATACAAACTTTTGGACAAATAAAGTAATTGGAAAAACAATGTAAACAAACAAACAAACAAAATACTGCAGTTGTAAGAAGTATTAGTGATCATCTGTTTGGTCAAAAATATGTGGACAGAAAACATGTAAGAGATATAAGTTTCTGTCCATATACTTTTGAAAAATAAATTCTCAGTCACATATTTTTGGCCATAAGTATAAGAACATAGACTATACTACTGCTACTACTATTACTACTACTAAAACTACTACTACTAATAATAATAATAATATTTTTAAAATGCTGTAAGTACTATGATTGATCATCTTCTTGGTCAAAAGTATGTGGACAGAAATGATAAAACAGACAGTAATTATTGTCCATATACTTTTGAAAGTATATGGACAATAATATTTATCATTTCTATTTATCTTTCCTTTGTGGCCACATATTCCCCCATAAGTGTGAGGACACCAACTTAAAGGGATAAACTTAATAGACAAAATTATGAGAACAACAAATACTGCGAGTAGTATTTTGGTCAAAAGTATGTGGACAGAAACTCGGAGCTGTGCAGCACTTGGTGTCCACATATTTCTGGTCTGTTTACGTATTTCTCTCGCTGTGACATTGTGGGTCTCGGTGTGTGTTTGTGTGTTGCCAGCAGAGGCCTCCGTGTGTCCGTTTCCTCCCCGCAGCTTCATCCTCTGCAGCACAACAACTGTGACCCGGAGCTGAGCGGCTGGAGGCGGACACATTCCTCCGTCCTCCCCCAGGACCCGCCGGACGGAGGGAGGGAGGGAGGGACGGAGGGAGGCTGCTGCTGCTAATCAGAGGAAGAAGCAGCAGCAGGACGGACAGACGGACGGACGGACAGACAGCGGACCAGCCGTCCACAGCGCCCCGTCTCCGGCTGCAGCAGCTCGACGCTCCGGACTTTACGCAGCAGAGGAAGCGCCGTGGAGCGGATCTGGAGCAGCCGGGCGGAAGTTTACGCTTTGGATCTGCGCTGTTTTCGGCTCCGGAGTTTCGGTTCGCTGCTGTTGGATCTCAGAACAAACGGAAAATGCGGCTCATGAGGCGTAAATCCGAGTAGCAGACAAGTCCGACGGCTCCGGAGCTGCGCGTTCGTGCTCGCGCTCCGCTGAGTGAGTGATGATTGATGTGGAAATGTCAGCTCCATCAGCCGCGGGGAAAGTAAGAAACCACCTGTTGTGAAAGTTTCCTGGAGCTGCTCACGGATAAACCCGAGCTGCTAAAAACAGGGAGCCGGACGGAGCCGAGCCAGAGGCGCGCAGGGAAGGAATGCGGCTTTTACGCACGGAGCAGCCGCAGTTCCCGAGAAGAGGCTCCCGTCTGACGAGCGCTGACCCCCGCCGCTGCCGCCGCCGCCGCCGCGTCCCCGGGCCCCGCGTCCGCTGTCTGCAGTGAGCATGTTGCCATGGTGCCCCGGGCTCAGGTGAGCAGCGCCGCGGAGCTCCGGTCGGGATGGCTCGGGAGGACGCGGTGAGGTGCCTGCGCTGCCTGCTGTACGCGCTCAACCTGCTGTTCTGGGTGAGACGAGCCGGTTCCGATAGCTGGTCGATGAGTCAGCGATAGGTTTGGAGCAGTAGGTGGTAGAGTCTGCAGCCAGAGTCAGTAGTGAGTCTGAAGTAAAAGTACACGTTTGCAGTAAAAGCTACGTTTTGCAGTAATAACTAAAGTTTGCAGTAAAAGTTTTGCAGTAATTATATGTACAGTGTATACAGCAAAGGTTTCCAGTAAAAGTTTGCAGTTAAATTTTGCAGTAATAATTAAAGTTTGCAGTAAATATACAAACAGTTCATGAAGTTCGGTCCATATGGACAGTAACCAGCAGAAACCCGAACCTTCAGAGCAGAGACAGTTTGTGGTGAATCACGAGGACGTTACACACAGAACATCTGATTTCAAACTGGTTTTTTTTGCAAACAAAGAAAACTTTATTCCACATCTGGGTTTCACGCCTCACTTCTACCTCATCACACTCCTCTGAACACGGTTCTGATCTCCACAGTCCATCAGGAACTTCTTCACACCTTTATTTTCAGGACGAGGCTCCTGCTGCTGCTGGTGTGCAAACGTCAGCTTCACACCCACGTTAAATATAGTTTCACGTGAAATTGTGTTAATTTAAAACATGTGAAAGATCAGAAAACAGGAGTGCATTCAGAGGAATCACATCAGGAGGAGGTTCAACAGAGCAGCAGCAGCAGCAGCAGCAGCATGGAGCTGGAGACGGAAACCAGCAGAGAGACAAGAGTCAGAGAAAGTTCAAGTTTGCACTTTAAATTAGTCTGTGTTTGAAGTCAGCAGTAAAGGATGAAGCCTGCTGACAAAGTCTGCAATAAAATGTACAATTTGCAGTAAAATTTCAAGTTAACAGTAAAAGTTTGCAGTAAAACGTGTCGTGTGCAGTAAAGGTTTAGTCTGTGGAGCCAGTCTGTTAGTCAGTTAGTTAGTTAGTTAGTTAGTTAGTTAGTTGGTTAGTTAGTCAGTCAGTTGGTTGGTCAGTCAGTGTCTGAGCGCCAGCAGGCCGGCGTCGGGCTGCAGAGGCGACTCTGACATTCTGAGGTGTTATTTGCAGGCAGCAGAACCTGATCCAGGAGTGTTTATTTCTGTGTGTTTATTTGTGTGCCGGTCCAGCTGATGTCAGCTTGTGTGCTGGGAGTGGCGGCCTGGATCCGAGACTCCCTGAACACCGTGCTCACCCTGACCGCCCACACCAGGTGAGTCCACACAGAACCAGGTACCAGGTACCGGTTCTGTCCTGAACACACAGTTAAACCCTGACAGTGCAGCTTGTTGGTATTTTACTGTAACCTTCTGTATGTCTAACACTAACTCCACCTGCAGCTGGATGTTCATCACCAACGTCTATCAGACTTTCAGGACTGAACCGTACTCGGCTGCACTCGTCGGGTTATTTATGACGACGGTCGATCTGGAGGACAGTTTACAGGTTATATAACCAAACGATGACCAAACGTCCAGGGAACGTAAACACAGTCAGACATTCCTGCAGCTGATAGATAGATAGATAGATAGATAGATAGATGGATAGATGGATAGATGGATAGATAGATAGATAGATAGATAGATAGATAGATAGATAGATAGATAGATGGATAGATGGATAGATAGATAGATAGATGGATAGATAGATAGATAGATAGATAGATAGATAGATGGATGGACGGATGGATTTTCTGTAGCAAAGTCCAAAAAGACTGATTCATGTCAAAGTGAAGCAGATTTCTGCAGCATAATGTCAAATAATTCAAACTATGAATTGAAAACTCAGTGCCTGCATCAGTCTCCTCCTCCAGTCAGTCCTCAGCAGATGGACCTTCAGCTCCATCATGGTCCTGTTGGTCTCCATCAGTCTGAACATCTGGACGCTGCAGCTTCACCTCATTCTGATGAAACTGTTCAGACTCTGTCGGGTTCCACAGAGATCATGAAGGAACAGAACTTTTCAGGTCCAGACTCTAATTCTCAGCTGGATGGAGGTCTGGACTCTGACTGGGCCTCCAGAACTTCACCTTGTTGTCTTCAAACCATCTCTGTGGAGCTTTGGCTGTTTGCTTCTGCTCATTGATGGAAACCAAGTCTTCTCCACGTCTCAGTTCTCCTGCAGACTGCATCAGGTTGTCCTCCAGGATTTCTCTACACTCTGCTGCATTCATTCACC